ATATACTTTATATTGTAATTTTAACGTTTAATGCTATTATGTATCGTCATTGTTGTTGTTATTGTTTATACTTTTTAATAATTTTAACAACAATAATAATATTACAAACAAAGCTAATAATAATATATTATTTATGCATGTACATTTTATAAGGCACTTTATATTCAAGTTGGTCTGGTGCAGTGTATATTTAAAATGTTTCGTTCGAAACATCAAATTTAATATATCAAATAAGAATACTCTGTGTGAAATACATACCTAATTGGAATAAATATTATAATTTAACTAACTAAATACATATTTATATTTTACATAAATATACATAAATATATATTTAGCATACGTTGAATATAGGAACGTTGACCTGTTTAATGTGGTCATGCAGGCAGCATGTGAGGTTTGAAGTTATTTCAAGCCAACTATAGAGCTGAAGTTTGTAATTGTCACAGGAGTTGTATTGGGACATCTGCTCGACTGTATCAAAGCCGACACGAGAGTCCCAGCGGCTGAGCAAAAATCCGAGTTAATTAGCGCGATACATGTTTAATTAAAGCCAATTACAATATCTAAAATTACCTAATCGAAACCTGTTTTCACAGTGAAGGTGCCCTCAGCACGATCTGTTTCACACAGAAATAACACATGCATTCTGCAGCACATGCACTTTGTGCTTCTGCACGATACAAATGCTGCTGGATATGGAGATTTTTTTTTTTTTGTTTTTTGTTCTGCAAAATAAAACCATCAGGAGATACTGGACACGACGGCGTGTCACACGATACAATACTTTTATTGGAGGTTTTATTGTTTAGTGCAGCAACACCACATTATATTTCATTGTTAAATGTTGTGTGTGTGTGTGTGTGTGTGTGTGTGTGTGTGTGTGTGTGCATGTATTTAATTTATTTTGGACTCTTTAATCGGCGAAATAATTGTTCCTTAACATGTGATGATCATATCAGACTTTGCCTTTTGTTGGGTTTTTTTTTTTTTTGTGTATTTTTTTTAAAGGCTTTCCCATTGTTTTTTTTTTAATTCAGACTATTTGACGTTTGCAAGCATATACCCAATGCGCGACAATTGTGAAGTGATAAATTCTGGCACTCTTTAAAAGAAAATCAGAAACTGATTGGCTCACGTTTGATCGATAATAGGCTATTGATTAGTGCTCTTTAATTGTGCTGTGATCTCAAAACGCTGTTCCACAGATGCGTCGAGAGGAGGCGCTCTTCATCAAATTTCTCTCAAAGATTCAAAGCTGCTCCGCCAAAAGCTCCTGCAGTTTCCTCCGGAAAATAAATGAACGTATTTTCGCGTTTTATTCATTTAGGCTGATGCTCAAATTCAACTTTGAGGGAAAGAATGAGATTGAGATTGAGATTTGTCGTATTGTTAATTATATTATAGACTAGGTAAATTATTAATTATTAAGCATATTGTTTGTCTATTTTCTCCTGTTAATGTATTATTTATCCACCTATGTTATTATTGATGTATTTTATTATTTAACGCTATTTGTTTTTAAAGCTTTATTTCAAGCCGCTACCAATCCACAATTGAAAAATATATGAACTTGTTTCAATATAAAACATATGAAATAAAACGGCCAGTATCATTTTATGCAATATCTGCGCTTGTTCTAAGCACAACTGTATACAATGGCGCCAGAAACTACAATAAAATAAAGAAATGATGTCTCGACTCTCATAGTAATGCACATAATTCATCAACATTTTATCATCATTTTTCCCTTTTCTGATCATTAACGATGTAATTAGTTGTCATGATTAAGGCGAAGAGAACATATGCAACAGTTTAAAAATGCAAAGACGAATGATTGATTCACCCTGTTTGTCATGCACTGACGTTTACGCATCTTTGATTTCCATCTCTCTCCCTCTCTCCTTCTCTCCCACACTCCCTTTTAGATAAACCCACTACAAATGTAAAAATTGTTTTCGAGTCCTAATTCAAGAGGACTTGGTTTTAAAAGCATGCAAATATGAAATTTAACACTTGAAATATTGATTCTCGTTCGTTTCCAGATTTATTTTTGATGCTCGCAAACACAGAACTGGGACGTTTGGAGTTGGCATATCCGCTTAAAACATAGAAACTTGAGCACTTGGATTGATATTGCGAAGGTAAATCATCTTGCAGCATCTCTACATGAGTTATGATAAGCTAGTTCACGCCTTTCACTACATGACGTGCTCTCTGAGTGGTCAGTTGTCCGATTTTACGCACCCAGCATCTCAGCACTTCTAATTTAATTTCATGTCTCAATGCCAATATCAGCCCGAACGCATGCACATGTCAACGCTTTTCTGTGATGTTGGAGACAGACAGGCCCTCACTCTCTCCAAGCAATTTTATTCCGGCCATGCCTCACCAATACAGCTTCTCTAGAGTGTTGCAGGTGTAATTTCTGCTCCAGACCTTTAAGATTAAAACTGGGCTTTGGGTGATTTGGCCGTGCGCAAATATGCAAATGGTAAAGTCGTGGTGCGCTGGTATGATGCGTGGAGGGGACATCTGGGCACTGGCCATCTGACTGACTTTGCCTTGACATCTGGGAAAGCCACTGGTGTGTGGCACGCGAATCGGTTGATGTCGCTATTTAAATGCAAAAAATAAAAATAATAAACGTTCCAGTTAGAAGCAAAACGCTTTTACGTGTCATAGTAAAACATTTTCTAAAAACTGGTTTTCTAAAAAAAACGCATCAACCAAAACACTGATCTGAAGAACCTATAATTTAGCAAGTTTTTATGATTAAAGATAATATTAAAGGTCTAAACATTTAATGCGTAAATCATTGTTTTAATGATTATTATTATTATTATGTTTGCAAACTTATAAACCTTTTTGTGTTGACAAATTTTCTTTTTTTTTTCCTACTTGCATGAAGTAGATTGGCCGTGCGCAAATATGCAAATGGTAAAGTCGTGGTGCGCTGGTATGATGCGTGGAGGGGACATCTGGGCACTGGCCATCTGACTGACTTTGCCTTGACATCTGGGAAAGCCACTGGTGTGTGGCACGCGAATCGGTTGATGTCGCTATTTAAATGCAAATTTGTTGGGGATCATTGGAGCCTCGCCCCGTAAATTCACACAAAAGGAACACTTCACACACAATAAGGAAGAGGGTCGTTTCTTCGGGAGGTCTTGGCAACGCCGAACAAATCTTATTCAAACCCACACACACCCAAATTTTCTTTTTTTTTTCCTACTTGCATGAAGTAGATATTTTAGCTGCGCCTTTAATTTTTTTTTCTGCATAACAAAAACTGACAGAGCTGACACTTTGGAAATGCAAAACGCAGTTAAAGCGGTTATCACAATAAACACGCCGGATTGTTTTTGTGTCATAAATTTGTCCCGCACTTTGTTTTCAAACGTCGAGGAGCGAAAGTGAAAGTTGGTGAATTAAAGAGCGCATTTTGCACGCTTTGGCTCCGGGCTCCAGATGAGCCTCAGAAATGAGCCGAGATGGATTCAGGCGAGCAGCTGATTCTCCAGTCTCCGGCCAGATGGCTTCTGAACACAGATTTGCATTCATTTTCGCCTAATATCTTCCAAAATAGAGGGGCAGCTGCATTTGTTGTCAAATAAGGTTTAAAACTCCTTTTTAGGACGGGATCGTTACCTACGCGATGTGATTGTTGAACTTCTCTAGTCAACAGTATCAGATTGAAAGGGATTTAGACTAAAACCCTAATTTGGTAATCAGATTGATATCGCTTTGGTGTGTAATCTGTATTAGAGATACTGTAGATTAGGCCTAGAGTTAGCAAACCTGAAATATTTATGATGGTAAATTAGAATCCAATTAGGGTTTGGATAAAAATAAAAATAATACTAATTGAATAAAAACAAGTAAAAATATATCACATGCCAAATAGGTCTCCGGAAACTTTAGGTTTATTTATTAGCACACACGTCATTAAGACTTTTTGATAACAGTAATTCTAAGAACATTTCACATGAAACATAAAACAACTGTTTCGTGATTAAGACAAATAATAATAATCATCGTTTGCTGCCTAGAGTGCCATTTAACATTAAAGTTCACAGAAGCATTCAGTGTATGCATGGATCAAATTCATTGCAAATTAAAGACAAAAAGCATATCAATCTTAAATTGTCGTAAAATATAATTTTATTACTTACGTATTTAATTAGACGACGATGCAATGTGATGGATTTTGAGTCGAGGCAAGAGCAACAGCTTTGACAATTCACTTATCTTTGGCAATAGTCATTAACCCCCAACACTAGCAGAATAGATTGCAGTGTAAAACACATCTCTCTTCTCCTCTCTCCGTCCGTCCATCCATCCATCCCTCCCTCCAGCGCACAGGGTCCCCAGATAACCAACATCGGACTTCCATTTTCGCCCATTAATTCAAATATTAACATACATGCAGAGTATGCCAATATCGGAGACATGAGCACCTTACGAAAAAATGGCCCTTATTGTCCTGATAAATGATTATATTTTTATTACAAAAGACATCCTACTTCTTGCGCATAGAAGGAGAGGGTGGACGCAATGTTTCCCCCGAGTCCTTTCACACTTTCAGATGTAATTCTGCAATAATTTACAAAATTAAGCTTGTACGCGCTAGGACTAGGCGTTTGACATCGCCTCGGCTTGCTCCACGCACGCAAACTGGCTTTTAGATTCAAGCAGTCAACGTTGCCATAATTTAAGATGCGCATTACGCCATTATGCAGATGCCCAGGGTGTTTATTATAAGGAGCATCTAGTCTTAAAATGCCAGTGCACCTTCCTGACTTGAGAGTAATCAAAGTGAATCGATGTGGAGGCTTGCGTCCAGGACGTTTGGCACCGCTGTCATAGTGATGATGGCCCAGTAAGAATTTGTATTTGTATTTATTGTTTTATTCTGGAACCCAATTGTAGCGGATGGGTGGTCAGTCAGTGCTCTTTTGCACTCTATAAACTTGCATGGCAGTTTTTCCCGCGCGCCGCGCTTCATTCGCGGGCTTTCATTCTCATTCATTTTTGTTCTTCTCTGATGATTAGCCTACTTGACACGATGTTCACTGGAAAAGCAGTTGCAGCAGCAGCGACTCTACTCGTGTATGTACTCACGGTCCAAGCTTAAAGCTCAGCGACAGGAAGCGTCAATCCTCTCCATGTATGGGCAAAGCCACGCCCACGTGCGCGTCATCCTCTGACAGCGTGGATCCCGTGGGTCTGGAGTTTTTGGCTCCCGGGAAAGGTTCCAGTCCTGGGGGATAGAGGGTTGAGTTTTGTATGCTTCCATCCATTCTGCAAAGACTCGCTAAAGGCCCCTCACCATCCTCTCCCGTGTCCGGGAACACCTCCACGGTGATCATTTACGCGTTTATTTGTCTTTTGGAGCCAGAAGTGGTGGATTCAGCAGTGTCCCGAAGCCTTTTTTGATGCTGTTGTTATAGGATGCCACCAAGCTAAGAGCATCATCACCATCATCACCATCATCATCATCATCAACAACAACAACAACAACAACAGAAAGTTGCAAGACATGTTTAACTGAATTAAAACAAGTCTAATATCCCTGCTCTTTGCGCGACTTGTTTCGCTTCTTCCACGGGAGGATCTCCATCTATCCAAACAAGCTGCTGGAGAGGCTTGAGAATCTTTACGCACTGAATCGTTCATGTGGTGCCAACGCAGGGCGGACTGAAGAAGGAGTCGGGACTGCTTTTTCTTTTCTTCTTCTTCTTCTTCTTCTTCTTCTTCTCCTCTTTTCGACAAATCCCAAACAAACTCTCACGGCTATCCGAAGGGGCTCTTGGAGAGACGACGCGCCCTCGCTCACACTCTCATTTCATCTCTTTGGCTGGAAGTGGGTTGCACGCGAACTGTTTTAATGTTTGGGATTCAGGAAAATATACCAAGAGGGGGGACCACTATGAAAGAGGAACCGCTGGGCAGTGGCATGAATCCGGTCCGATCGTGGATGCACACGGCTGGGGTGGTGGATGCGAACACGGCCGCCCAGAGGTACGTTTGCCAAATCATCCGATTTTTTAATGCATTTCTCAGATCGACCCCTAAATCCCCAATATGCCATGTATCAATTACAATCTCCCCATGCACCTCTTCGCCGCTTTCCCCTGTTCATTACATCATATTACAGTTTAAGTGACAAATCAAGAATTCTCCTATGTTTTCATTCTATCTACATCTATCTATATCTCAAGTGTACGCCTGTTGTTTTAACCCACACTGGTGTCTTGTTTTTCCCCGCAGTGGAGTTGGTCTGGCACGGGCGCACTATGAGAAACAACCGCCATCCAACCTCAGAAAATCAAATTTTTTCCACTTCGTCTTGGCGCTTTATGACAGACAGGGACAGCCAGTGGAGATCGAAAGGACAACTTATGTGGACTTTGTGGAAAAGGATAAAGTAAGCGCCACTCTGGAATACTGCTTTGAATTTTCACCTTAAAACTTCCACACTTCTAGATCTTTGGAAACACGTGCGCCATTAAACCGTTTTGACGGATATCACAGAAATTGATATGCATTATACACATTATTGCCAGGAATTAATCTACTAAAATACAACCTTGAAATAGAGTTGCTGGATGAAAGCGTAAATATGAGAGAACATGCATACAGACAAAAATGCATGCATTTCAGAAATATACTAAAATAAAATTCTCAACAACCCGATTATGCCAATCTGACCCCAAACAAATGCTTATTTTCAGGAGCCTAACAGTGAAAAAACTAACAATGGGATACATTACAAAATACAACTATTGTACAGCAACGGTAAGTGTAAATTTCTCTATTCAGCAAGGATAGATTTACAAGTGTTTTATTCGCTCAGTGGAGCCGTATTAACTTACGTTTGGTTTCCTAAAATGTAGTTCAGTTTATTCCACAAATGTAATTCTAGTAGCCTAGATGGCAAACCTTCGATGATGTGGTTTTTTTTTCTATTAGTGAATTTCAAGAATACTTTCAGATTTTTTTCCCCGAGGAAACTTTGTGTAATTTTTTTTTTTTTACCACACTTTTTTTCCACATTGAAAAACAAAAATAATTTCCCACAGGCGTCAGAACAGAACAGGATCTTTATGTTCGGTTAATCGATTCCATGACAAAACAGGTAAGAACTTTTCTTTTCTCTTGCGTGCGTGTATTTATATTTATAATATGTGTAATGTTTTGTTGCACGTGCTTTGGTCACACTTTTTATTACAGTATACATGTTTCCATAAGTAAATACAAAACAAGCAAATGCATCTTCTTCTTTATATGTAATATTTATTGGAGATGCAGAGCATTTTATTGTCATTGCTGCTGTAACTGGTTATATTCAGATGTACAATGAACACTGTAATGTAAAGCCGTGGCTGTATTTTGGCTCGCTCTGATTAATGGGGGAGGTTATTTGGCGGATTTAATTTAATATGAATCACATTACCACATTTTTCTTCTCGTGTAGCTGCTTGATAATTTATTGCGAATTAATGAAATGGTGGAGGGCACACAATTATGTATACACACTTTTAAATAAGCACTTAAAATAAAATAATAATAAAACAATACTGAGGATAAAGGCAAAATAACCTAAAATGTTAATAATTTTCTTTATAATTTATGCCGAGTACTTTCTTAAGAGCCACATTATAGTCTTACTCTCGCATATGGAGCATCATTTCTGTATTGCGCTCAGTTAGGCTGTATTATTATTATTTTTTTATTGTGTTTTTAATCTGATACAATATATAGCTCATATGCGTGTGCTTGTGAAGCACAAAATGCCAATTTATAATGCATGAAAATTATTTTAATAATTTTATATCATAGCTGCTTTATATATGATATAAAAATAGTAATAATAAAAATGCATTTTTTATCTCGCAGTGCAATATTTCCTAATTGCCATTCAGTTACTATATTTTAGTGTGTCGTTTATATCGCGCTGTCGCACGTGTAAACTCACTTTTGTTGTGCTGTAATCAGATCTGGATAAAGGCATAAAAATAAAGCTCCAGGCTTGAGACAGGCACTTGAGTTCATATTGTACTTTGATGTTCTCTGAAATCACTCTCAACTCATTTCCATTGTCCATTTAAGTTTATCTTTGTTAGACATTTCTTAATAGAATTGATTACTAGAATTAATGTCATGAGAATTACAAACCAACGCTTGCATTCAGAATGCAGCTGGCAAATTAAAATTCAAAAGTGACCTAATTGCTACTATGCTTTTATTATAAGTTTTCATATATTTAAAGCAATTCTTTTTTTTTTGCACCGTGTGTTTATTTACGCATGAGTATTTATTTTTTTTAATTCCAGTTTTATGTGTATACAACAGTGCTTGGATTTTCATACATTTATATGCACCAATAATAAGACTACTGTGTATTTTTTTTTTATAAAAGTGAATGTGTTTTTTTGTTTTTTTTGCAATGATGTACTGTGCAAGAGCGCACTCCAACGCGCCCCACGGATCCTACGGAAGGACGCGTTGGAGTGCGCTCTTGCACAGTACATCATAACGGGAGCAGGGCAAACAGGGAGGGAGGGAGAGAGAGAGAAAGAGAGAGTGAGACAGAACGCGCAAAAAGCACCAAGGCCCGTGCGCACCTACAGCTCCAAACGCCATCTGTTAAAGCCAATGCTCAAAAATTACTCAAGCGTACCCCCCGACACCGCTTTTTATCTAAAGAAAAATCATTGTTAGCGGCTCAAAATAAACAACAGATTGCCCATTAGCACTCTACCCCTACATATCTGCAGATTATAACCGCGCTGATGTGTACGGTTATGGGTATTATTTACCGTGGCCATCTGCGTCGGAGAAGCGACATCTATGTGATTTCTATTATCATTCCCCAAATAAATAGCGCAAAGATCTAAACAGAAGCATATGCGACTCTTCATTTCTGAAGTGATATGCATGTGGTATAATTTGTCATCGCGATGACCGTCCAAGTGTTGATATTCATTTCAAACATCATATTTATTTATGCAAATTAATAACACAAAGGTTATCTCTATCTAGAATGTGGGCATGTGTGTTGGTTTACAGATAAAACATTGTTTAACAATGTATGTGGGTTAAGTGGATTTTATTTACGTAACTTCTCGTGACTATTTTTAATTGACGAAGATGAACTTGAACTTTGTGGCATAAAAACACGTTATTATTTTATGTTTAATTTAATTATATATTTTTTTTTGCTGGAGAAATGCGGTTTTATATCTTATATTTTAAATGTAATATTTGATGTGTTATCCACTTGTTTAAAATGTCTTCACTGTGACTTTTATTTCAAGGCTATTATTTATGAAGGGCAAGATAAAAACCCAGAAATGTGCCGAGTTCTTCTCACACACGAAATTATGTGCAGGTAAGGAAAAAACTAACTTCCTTTTCATTTTCTGATAATTATAAACTATTGCATTTGACTGCGTAATTTAATTTTATCAGCCATAATGTCTTGTCGTGTTTTCATAAATGCGTAACGCACATGATGTAGGCCAGGATCCAGGCCTCCGAGCATCAGACTTACAGAAAATCAATGAATCCCTGAATAGATCTGCCTGGATACGCTGAAAATAATCCAAATGTTCAGAATTGTCAGGCGGCTTGCGTAATGATTTACGGTTCGCTTTGCGCCCTGCTCTGCGAGTTTCACAAGTTCTACTTCAAAAGCGTAAATTTTTACCGGATCATTTGGTGACACCGGACTTATGAATGATTTCACTGGACTTTTAACACTATAGAGGATGAATTGAAATTCACACACACAGCGGTCTGCTCAAATGCAGACGTGTGTGTGCGCG